ATATATATATATATATATATATATATATATATATATATATATATATATATATATATATATATATATATATATATATATATATATATATTTTTTTTTTTTTTTATTATTAAGCCTATTAATAACTTGTTTTCAGGTTATTTTAATTTATTAATGCCATAGGTCAAAACAAAATCGATATGCTAACTGTATTTTAGCTGTTAAAATAGGCCTACAGTATAATTTCTAGTGTTTAATTGTGCATGGGCAAATAGCAGTATAGCATAAATGACATATTTATTAAGGATTATCATTCAGCCTACCTGCAGCACATGAGAGAGGTGGATCCACGGCAAATCCACTTACTCACGCACTATTTACCCATTTCATTTATAACACTTTAAACTTGACTTCACAGGCTGATCATCTTTAAACTGAAAGGCATTTATTAAGTGTGCTAACTTGAGAATGCTGCTGCATAATGGGATATTTCTTTACAAATCTTTAAAAGTGCACTTTAGCCATGTCACAATAGAAGCAAACATTCAAAAGGATTCTGCTTTTTGTCAATTTTAGCTTAATTTAATAATATTTATAATAATAATGAATATAATAAACTATAATATTACGTATTGTGTTAATGAGAATAGCTCAGGACTGTAATAGCTAGCTCTTGAATAGGGGAGTTGAGTTGGTCTGGGTGTGTTGGTTAGAACACCAAAGCCGGAGAAGGAATATACTTGAATGATTTATTGATTACAGTCATATGCAGAGGGGGAGCCAGTTGTAACTTGTATGTTAACGTCTTCTAACCACATACATGGAATGGGCATGGATACTGGAGGATGATGATTGTATTGCCTTGTGCTTAAATGTTCCTTAAAGACGGCATAGATCCAACTTTGCTTGCATTTATGCGTGTATGAACTTGTAGAGCCGTGTGTGGTGTTTGTGTGTGTGTGTGGTCTGTAAACAAACAGAATAAAGAACATATTTGTTAATGTGTGCTTATTACTCCATCCACAATACAGATAAATCACAATACATACATGTGACATAATTACATGAACTACTGGCATCCCCAAATGTGAACATAAGGCAGTATTTAAGATAAATGAACATAATATTTGACTACATAACAAACAACTTGTAATATAACAGTTTAACTGAATGTGAGCTCCCTCACGATATAGGCCTTATTAGCATTCACTCATAATGTCAGCTTTGCATACTCAAACTTAAACAAAGTCCTCCAGTAATGTCCTTAAACTCAGTCAGAATGCACAGTACTCACTTTTCCTCTGGACGCACACAGTTTTATAAACTAACAGGAACAAACAGCAATCATATACAGCCGTGAGTCTCCAGACTTCGCTCGGCTCGTTTCTCTCCTCGTTGAGTGAACGTAATGACTGATTCACGGAGAAATCGGAAGTGCCCCGAACTGTGAAGCACTCCACATCAATGCACGGCAATGCGCCATAATAAAAGTCCCCGCGATTCAGAGTAAGGCACTGCTTTATATCACTGTTACAGTCTCTTATTTGCAGCCTTTCGCACATATTGTGTAGACTACTGTGGGAATTTGCAGTGAACTAAACATTTTATTAGGCTACAGATCCCCGAAATAAAAAAATGAAGTTGTGTCTCTGCTAAAATTAATTTATTGGCAAATTTCTTCTGCGTTTTTCTCCTTTAGAGCTCAAGTGAGTTGTATTTAAAGAATTAGTTACCCAAAACATGTAATGAATTAGGCTGCTCGCCTTCATCTCATCTACTAGTCTAGTTTTCTCCGGCGTGAGTGCGCCTCCTCCACCGTGTGCGCGCCTGACCTGACGCGGGGACCAGATCTCCATTGCTTTAATTTCACAATTTTCATAATTGAATTGCTTTTTCATATTATAAAATATTTAATGGTGTGTTCCTTGTTATTAAGTCGCTTTTTCTCGTCTACTGTCTGTAATGATCGCTTCTGTCCAGCAGGTGTCGCGCCTGCGCAGAAAGACTCTGAGGCGCTTCAGTGCGTCATCAATGAGCGACGCGTTACAAAACAACAAAACTAAAGTCCAACTTACTTCATGAATAAACAGCTCATCTGGTGAGTGACTATTTTATCAGCACATTTAAATGTTGTATCACAGACTGTCTGACGAAGAGCCGGTGTACACGCGTTGTGTTAGGCCTTTTTAAGTTAATAAATCGGTTTGTTTTGGAGCTTTGCTGTTGCCGCGGTTTTGCTGATGTTTATGCGCCGTTTGCTGTTTGGCGGAGCACCCGCTAGATTAATGTGCATTATTTCTATAAGTATTATATTGCGTAGACACTATTGTCATGTTGTGGAATGCATTTAATATAGCATTGATGTGTAATAATCATTTATTGTCATTGAAAAAGTGATATTTGTCTTTAAAAAAAGATGAAAACTCTGAAAACTGGTCTATTAAAACTGGATTGACTGAATCTGATCTGTTGCATCTCTGCAGAAACTGTGAAATAAATATAGACGTAGATCCACCAACTAATCAGCTTGAGTTACACAACTGACAAGTTAAATACACGTAAATTAAATCCTATATTAGATTACATTCTGCAGATATATTTTTATTCACTCATTCCTGATTTCTCATAATATACAATGATTTACAGCAAAGTCAATTATGTTACATTTATTATAATAATAATTAAAATAATAATTAAAGAAAATAAAAGCAAGTTAATTACATTGATTTCTTTTTTAAGAACAAAGTTTTTGTTTGCTGTACAGTGCTCAGCATTAAGGCGTTCACCTCTCACAAATTTCTCTTTTAAATTCATATGTTTAATAGGAATCTACAATATTATATTTGTGCATATACATTACATTTAATAAGTGCTGAAGCCAGAACAGCCACATGTATATGTTGTAAAAACATATTAAATACAGAAAAAATCAAAAGAAGCAAAGAAAAATGAAAAATATAGTTGAAAATTTGTAGGTTGTCATTTATTTTTGCAATATTTTACATGAATTTAATTGTATTATCCTTCAGTTTCTAAATATGTTATTAATAAAATATGTTATAATATAAAAATATTATTTTAATAAATATATCTGTTTATTAAATCAGTTTTGTTTAAATGCACCAAAATATGTCGCCTAAATTCACTGAAAATTAGAGAATAATATTAATTTTAATAATGGGGTGTACTCAGTTATGCTGTGTGCTGTATGTGGTTCATATACATTGTCAAATAAACTTAAAGACATTTGTATTTTTTAAAATAGGTTTAGTGAAAATATAGTTGAAATATGGATATGTATATACAGTGCTCAGCAATATTGAGATTTTTTCATTTTAAAAATGAATATTTTAATCCATTTGTTGGTGAATATAGGTGATGTATTTAGGTGCGTTTAAACAAAAGTAAAATAATCTACCAAAAGGGTGCAAAAACAATCAAATAATCTATTAAAACAAGAGAGCAATTCCATGCAAATGTCAACCTTTCCATGAAGGTTTTACCAAAGTAGTAAAACCCTTTCTAAGCTTTTTGTGTGGGCTTACAGTACTACGAAAATACTCATGGAAAAATGTACAAAAGCAGGCACCGCACTTTTAACTGGCTGCTCAGCCAAACCGCGAAAAGTGCAAAATATATATTCAAAAAGGCGGCAACACCAAAGCTCCAAAAAATGCACATTTATTGAATTAAAAAAGGCTGACACAAAGTGTGTAATGTAAAAAGGACTGACTGTCTGATGAAGAGCCGTGTGCTCGAAACGTTACACGCTTTGTGTCAGCCTTTTTTAAGTTAATAAATGTGCAGTTTTGAATCTTTGGTGTTGTCGCCTATAAAATACTCACACATGTCTCTGTCAGTGTTTACAAACAAGATGATTTGATTTATCAAAGTCACACAAAAGTGAAAATTCCACATCTGTCACATCCATAACCAAGCGTTCTCCTCATAATGCAGAAACGTCAAATTAAATAACAGTAATCAGGTTTCTTCAGTAGTGAGCCAACTCTTCTCCTTTTCACTAGCATTGTTTCTTTTGGGTTTTGCAGTTTAATCCACTGAATTTCTACAAAGTGTGAACTCGCAGACTTTTTAAGTCAATTGCTCGTAATGGTAATTTAGCAATTATTGTGCAGCTCTAACATTAAGTGACGAAGGTTAACCTGCAGCCAGTTTCTCCTTAATCTCTGATCTGATCTCCAGCAGTTTCTGATCTCTCTGACTTCAGTGATGTCTGATCTGATCTCCGACAGTTTCTGATCTCATCTGCAGCAGTTTCTGATCTCTCTGATCTGATCTCATCTGCAGCAGTTTCTGATCTCTGTTTCCAGTGTTGTGCAGTGATGTCTGATCTGATCTCCAGCTGTTTCTGATTTCTCTGATCTGATCTCCAGCTGTTTCTGATCTCTCTGATCTGATCTCCAGCAGTTTCTAATCTCTCTGTCTCTGCTCTATAGCAGTGATGTCTGATTCAGGGGTCAGGTCTGATCTCCTCCAGCGGTTTCTGGATGCAGCATCCACAGGAGACATGCAGACGCTGATGCTCATGATAGATCAGTCCTCAGATTTGCTGAACCAGAGAGGAGAGAAGGGGTGGAGCGCACTGATGCTGGCTGCCAGACATGGACACCAGGAGGTGGTCAAGGCCCTGCTGGAGAACGGGTGAGATGCCAAACGCCATCCACAGAGTAACATCAGTCTGAGAGAGGAGAACAGGAGATCAAGCTGGACTCATTTGAAGAATCACAGAGTCAATTAAGTTCATATTGAGCTGCTGTTATTGCTGAAATTTAGTTTTTCATAATCAAATTTCAAAACTGATTCATTTCCAACTGAATCAAATCCACAATGAACTGAATCAAATTAACACTGAATTAATTCCAAACAGAAGTAAAATGGAAATATTGAACTTAGAACTAAACTAGATGAATTGAATCAAATCAACACAAAATTCAATCAACAATGAACTAAATCAAACCATGACTAAACTGATCAGAGCAATACTCAACTGAATCAAATCAACATCAAATAGAAGTCATCATTAAACTGAATCAAATCCACAATGAATTGAACCAAATCAACGCTGAACTGAATCAAAACATAACTGAAATGTATCTGTTCTACACTGAAGTCAATTAAATCAACATTAAACTGAATCAAATGAACAATGAATTGAACCAGATCATCTCTGAATTGAATCAAACCATCACTGAACTGAATCAAATCCACAATGAACTGAATCAAACCATCACTGATCTGATTGAAATCAACACTGAAGTGAACCAAAACATGATTGAAATGTATCTATTCCACACTGAACTCAACTAAATCAACATTAAACTGAATCAAATCCACAATGAATTGAATTAAAGAGCCCATATTATACATGAAATAAGGTCATATCTTGGTTGTAAGGGTCTCCAACAACAGTCTAATATGCATGCAAGGTCAAAAAACACTTTCATGGTCTTATAATCTGCATTTATTTTTATCTAATTATCCCAGCGACTCCCGTATGAATCGTCCAGTGATTCATTTGTTCCCAAACCCCTCCTTAGCGCGGAGCTAATCTGCGCTGATTGGACCGATGACAGTCTGTCGCGATTGGTCGACTGCCTTCAGTCAGAGAGGGAAATGGCCAATAGCTAATCAGCAATTTAAAAAGTAATCACAGTTCATACACGCTCGATAGTGTAGGCGTGGACTTTAGCTGCCACACTATGGCGAGTGGATAGTGCCACGGATAACCGAACGAAGGAGACAGTCGTGTACTCGCCATACCACACACACACAAAAACACACACACACCTCCGGATGACAACGCTCCCGCTTCAGCCCGCACCCGCCAGGTTTTAGCCTGAGAACCCGCTCCGTTTTCTGCCCGCCGCGCCCGGTCCCGCTAGAGCGGAGAACACAACCAAATATCACCCAGTATACAGTCCAGACAGCCAAGCTGTCAGTATAAAAACACACACACAGCACAAAGTACACAAAGCTCGTTCGTTCGCTCGCTCTCTCTCTCTCTCTCTCTCTCTCTCTCTCCCCCCGCGCCAGATTTCTGCGGCGCGGGAATACATTTCCGAATAAATCGCGGGAGCAGAACTCTAGCACGGAGCTCCATAAACAAACAGCACGCGTCGCGTTTTTAACGTGACTTTGCACGCGATAAGATAATATATCCAGTTAACCTGATACAGTACACGCGGTTACAAGTAACAAATCACAACTAAATACATTTGCAAGCTAGAGTAAACGAGGCAACAACTTTAACCGCACGTACTTACACTTGAGAAATGTAGGAAGAAACCCATCCTGACGTCCATCAGTTACTCTTTACTGATCCTTCCTTTAACAAACTCAGATGAAGTATTCTTTGTAGCATGTAGCTTCCAGAAGTTTCCAACTGCTTGGTTATAATGCTGATGTTTCATCTTTGGGTAGAGACTCAATATATCCATCTGCAGTGTGACTTCAATCGACCGGCATGTTTGTGTGCGTGTGTTTGTGGGTGTGCGTGTGTTTGTGGGTGTGTGTGTGTGTGTGTCTGGGTTACTGCGTCAGAGGGCGGGGCCTCAGGTTTGAAATCTCCCGGGTTTGCGCGTGCACGTGAAAAACTTTGTTTCGTTCGTACGTCATGGCGAAACACCTAATGAGTCGGTATCAAGGCGACTCGTTTGAAGCACTATGATTCGACTCTTTTATAGATGAATCAACAGTTTTAAACACTGTATTCTTACAGATTTAAGCCTTAGCTGGATACTTCACTTCACTTAGAGCTGTGTTACACACTACATGGAGGGGAATTTCAAAAACCCATAATATGGGCTCTTTAAATCAACACTGAACTGAATCAAACCATCACTAAACTGAATCAAATCATCACTGATCTGAATCAAATCAACAATGAATTGGATAAAAACATGACTGAAATTTATCTATTCCACACTTAACTCAATTAAATCAACACTGAACTGAATCAAACCATTACTGAAAAAAAAACAAAAGCGGGCGCATTATTTACCTCATGCCCTTACTGAACATTTATTTTTTTATTTCTAAGTCTCTAAGTCTAAATCAACATTTAACTGAATCAAATCTACTATGAATTGAACCAAATCAACACTGAATTGAATCAAACCATCACTGAACTGAATCAAATCAACACTAAACTGAATCAAATCAACACTAAAGTTAACCTAAACATGATTGAAATGAATCAATTCTATGTTTAGCTAAATTAAATCAACATTACACAACTGAATCAAACCATAACTAAACTGAATCAAATCAACATCAAAAACAGAAGTCATCATTAAACTGAATCAAACCATCACTGATCTGATTCAAATCAACACTGAAGTGAACCAAAACATGATTGAAATGTATCTATTCCACACTGAACTCAACTAAATCAACATTAAACTGAATCAGATCCACAATGAATTGAACTAAATCAACACTGAACTGAATCAAACCATCACTAAACTGAATCAAATCATCACTGATCTGAATCAAATCAACAATGAATTGGATAAAAACATGACTGAAATTTATCTATTCCACACTGAACTCAATTAAATCAACATTAAACTGAATCAGATCCACAATGAATTGAACTAAATCAACACTGAACTGAATCAAACCATCACTGAAAAAAAAACGAAAAAAAAAAAAAAAGCGGGCGCATTATTTTCCTCATGCCCTTACTGAACATTTGTTTGTTTATTTCTAAGTCTCAACAACATGCATGAAACTGAAAAAAGAGAGGAAAAATAATCTGGCACAACTTAAAATAGCATGGTAAATAAATAACCTGGTACCAGAACAAAACAGCTCACAAATAATGTTCGCACATCAAATGAAACGTTAAGTGGGCTTGAATTCAAATCACAATGCTGAAACGGGCGGCTCACAGTGCTTAATCAATGGCTAAAGTTACATTTCCACTCTGACGCCAACTTTTTCACATCAGGCTTGGCCGCTGTCAGACTTTTCAACATGTCATAGGTTTCGGGACAAGATACCCAAGATGCGATCAGGCTTTCAGCACCATGGAGAGCCGCCTTCACATCGCCTGCGGCCTAAATTTCAGCCAGCTGGCTCTGAATGGCCACCTCGACTAATAGCAGCATTTTCACCGCGTTTGTGGAGAGTTTTCTATCAATCCTAGTGTTTGACTGTGGTATAGGTGATGGGAGCCTGAATCAAATGCCTTTAGTTTGTAGTGAAATGGAAAAAGTATAAACATCAAACATAATGTTAAACCAAAGTGAAATTTTTTATTAGATTTTCTTCTTGGTGGTCCGGCCCACTAGGAGACTGTCTGGTAAAACTCTGGCCCTCTGACAAATACAGTTGATGACCCCTGATGTAAACCTTTTTAGCATATTCAAACAAGCAGTATTAGCCTAAAGAGGGATGTTTAATCTCTTAGAATTTGTGCTTATGGCTTTGTATTTAATAGGCCTATGAATTTATGTTTATTACCCTCTCGTTTCCCCTTATTTCTCTCATGCGTTTGTTATATATTTAATTCATAATTACCCGTTTGTTTAAAAATGATCTATAGCATGTAGAGACTGTATTCTGTTTTATTTGTTCTGTAAATCTTTGGTGTTATAAATAAATAAATGATGATAACGCCATGTGATCGGTTATGACTGCTGCAACTGTGAGGCTCAAAGTGTCCGGCTCTGTTTTCAACTCCGCCCCTTCCTGCGCTCAGTTAATCTCATTGATCACCGGCTACAGCCATGGTTCAAGTCGAACGCGCCTATCATTAAAGTGAATCAAACCATCACTGAACTGAATCCAATCATCACTGTTCTGAATCAAATTCACAATGAATTGAATCAAATCCACAATGAATTGATCAAAATTAACATTAAATTGAATCAAAAAATGACAAGTTCATCTATTCCACACTGAACTAAATTAAATCAGCATTAAACTGAATCAAATCCACAATGAACTGAACCAAATCCACAATGAACTGAATCTAATTAACAATGAGCTGAATCTAATTAACAATGAACTGAACCAAACCATCAATGAACTGAACCAAACCATCACTGAACTGAATCAAATCATCACTGCTCTGAATCAAATCCACAATCAATTGAATAAAATGAACATTGAATTGAATCAAAACATGACAAGTTAATCTATTCCACACTGAAGTAAATTAAATCAACATTAAACTGAATCAAATCCACAATGAACTGAATCAAACCATCACTGAACTGAATCAAATCATCACTTATTAAACCAAATCTACATTGAATTGAATCAGATCAGCACTGAACTGATGTTTTCTCCTCTCCATCAGATGTGATACGAGTGCCCAGAATGGCTCAGGTCAGACGGCCAGAGATGTGGCCGTGTTTTGGGGTCACCGTCACGTGGCCAGTCTGCTGTCCGGTTCTCCAGATGTGGATCTTTTGCCCAGCGGAGGTGTTCAGGAGCTGGATATCTACTTCAACAGGCAGATGCTGGACAGAAAGAGTGAGAAGCGCACAGATTTAGCCTGGATCTCTGAAAAACAGGCTGATCCAGACACCGTCTTCATCGTTTTCCATGACCTGTGTCCACTGGTGCGCCGCGGAGCTCAGGACACGGTGTGTGTGTGTGTTAGATAGGGCTCTAAATTAATGAATTATTATTGTTTAATCTCTCCTAAATGAAATGATCAAACTGAATCAAATCAACACTCAAGTGAGTCAAAGCATCAAACTAAAATAACTCAGCATTGAACTGATTCAAATCAACACTGAAGTGAACCAAAACATGACTGAGATTAACCAATGCAAAATTAAATTAAATTATATGAATTAAATCAATTACTGATCTGAATCAAATCCACAATGAATAGAACCAAATCAACGCTGAACTGAATCAAACCATCACTAAAGAGAATCAAATCAACACTGAATTGAATCAAAACATGACTTAAATTTATCTGTTCTACAATGAACTCAGTTAAATAAACATTAAACTGAATCAAATGAACAATGAATTGAACCAGATCATCTCTGAATTGAATCAAACCATCACTGAACTGAATCAAATCCACAATTAATTGAATCAAACCATCACTGATCTGATTCAAATCAACACTGAAGTGAACCAAAACATGATTGAAATGTATCTATTCCACACTGAACTCAACTAAATCAACATTAAACTGAATCAAATCCACAATGAATTGAACTAAATCAACACTGAACTGAATCAAACCATCACTAAACTGAATTAAATCATCACTGTTCTGAATCAAATCAACAATGAATTGGATAAAAACATGACTGAAATTTATCTATTCCACACTGAACTCAATTAAATCAACACTGAACTGAATCAAACCATTACTGAAAAAACAAAACAAAAGCGGGTGCATTATTTACCTCATGCCCTTACTGAACATTTGTTTTTTTATTTCTAAGTCTCTAAGTCTAAATCAACATTTAACTGAATCAAATCTACTATGAATTGAACCAAATCAACACTGAATTGAATCAAACCATCACTGAACTGAATCAAATCAACACTAAACTGAATCAAATCAACACTAAAGTTAACCTAAACATGATTGAAATGAATCAATTCTATGTTTAGCTAAATTAAATCAACATTACACAACTGAATCAAACCATAACTAAACTGAATCAAATCAACATCAAAAACAGAAGTCATCATTAAACTGAATCAAACCATCACTGATCTGATTCAAATCAACACTGAAGTGAACCAAAACATGATTGAAATGTATCTATTCCACACTGAACTCAACTAAATCAACATTAAACTGAATCAGATCCACAATGAATTGAACTAAATCAACACTGAACTGAATCAAACCATCATCACTGAACTGAATAAAATATCACTGTTCTGAATCATATTCATAATGACTTGAATCAAATAAACACTGAATTTAATCAAAACATAACTAAAATTGATCTATTCTTCACTGATCTATAACACTGAATTGAATCAAATCAACACTGAAGTTAACCAAAACATGATTGAAATGAATCAATTCTATGTTTAACTAAATTAAATCAACATTACACAACTGAATCAAACCATAACTGAATCAAATCAACATCGAACAGAAGTCCTCATTAAACTGAATCAAACCATCACTGATCTGATTCAAATCAACACTGAAGTGAACCAAAACATGATTGAAATGTATCTATTCCACACTGAACTCAACTAAATCAACATTAAACCGAATCAAATCCACAATGAACTGAATCAAATCATCACTGTTCTGAATCAAATCCACAATGAATTAAATAAAATCATGACTGAAATGTATCTTTTCTACACTGAACTCAATTAAATCAACATTAAACTGAATCAAGCGAACAATGGATTGAACCAGATCATCACTGAACTGAATCAAATCAACAATGAATTGAATCAAATCAACACTGAACTGAATTAAATTACCACTGAAGTTAACCAAACCATGATTTAAATGAATTTATGTTTAGCTAAATAAAATCAACATTACACAACTGAATCAAACCATAAATGAACCGAATCAAATCATTAAATTGAATCAAACCATCACTTATCTGATTCAAATCAACACTGAATTGAATCCAAACATGACTGAAATGTATCTATTCTACACTGAACTAAATGAAATCAAAATTAAACTGAATCAAATCCACAATGAACTGAATTAAATCAACATTGAACAGAAGTTATCATTAAACTGAATCAAACCATCACTAATCTGATTCAAATCAACACTGAATTGAATCCAAACATGACTGAAATGTATCTATTCTACACTGAACTAAATGAAATCAAAATTAAACTGAATCAAATCCACAATGAACTGAATTAAATCAACATTGAACAGAAGTTATCATTAAACTGAATCAAACCATCACTAATCTGATTCAAATCAACACTTAATTGAATCAAAACATGACTGAAATGTATCTATTCTTCACTGAACTCAATTAAATCAACATTAAACTGAATCAAATCAACACTGAACTGAATCAAATCCACAATGAACTGAATCAAATCAACACTGAAGTGAACCAAAACATAATTGAAATAACTAATTCTATGTTTAGCTAAATTAAATCAACATAACATTACTGAATCAAACCATAACTGAAGTGAATCAAATCGAGTGTGTGTGTGTGTGTGTTAGACATATTTTATATATTGTGTGATGTTAACATGCACAACACTCAAGCAATGTATTCTTTGTTTAGTTTTTGTCTTGTTTCTAGGCCAAATGTCTGAAAGTACTTGAATCAAGAAGCATTTTTTAGACAGGCAAAACATATTGTGTTGTTTTCAGAAATAATGAGTCGAAATGAAGTGAGTTTCTCCTTAAAACAAGCAGAATAATCTGCCTTTTTGCTTCCCTCACTGTCAGAATATTTAGCTTGCTTTACGAGATAAACAACTAAATTTTAACTCATTTGTTCTGAAAACAGCACAATATTTGTTGCTTGTCCACAAAATGCTTCTTGATTTAAGAGTTTTTGGATATTTAGACTAGAAACAAGACAAGAAAGTCTAAGAAAAAGCATTTTCCGCTGTATATGGTTAAATTGACTATAAAAGCCTGGCTGGAAATAACCAAAGCAAGAAAATCTGATCCCGGCAGAAGACGAGTGTGTGTCGGCTGAGAGCGCCGGCGGTGCAGAAACTGCTCACACACACGCACACACTGCTGGTGTTTCTGGGGGTCCAGAAGAAGGAGGTGGCCTGGTTTGCTGTCAGCACTGAAGACGAGCCCACTGACTTACTGGAAACACTGGAGGGAGAGTGTTTCTTCCTGCAGCCGGCGATGCCTGGACTGCTGACCATGAGCGATGAGGACGCAGGTCAGACTACTAACTCTTGTGTATTCTTCACATTTAATACCCTTTCGTTATGTTCAGGGATGAAAACATCCACTGACTTAAACTGCTGTAAACATGTATCAGATGTTTATGATCAAAAATTATTAAATGATGTAATATTTATCCTTCGTTTATTCTCCAACAATAAACATGAAACAAATTAATAATAATGTAGATTAACTCTGCACTCATATCTACATTAATAATTTGTAACAAATTATAATGTAGATTAAATTGCTCGCTTATCTACACCAGTATTACTGTAATAAATTAGCTCAAGGTTATTCTTCCCGCGCCTTTTCCACCGTTATAATGTTGCGAGCTATGATTTAGATTACAGTGCTCGCGAATCTTCTGGACCATTATATATATAGCGGATTAGCCTAATAGGAGGAAGATTCGTTTGAACGGGGCTTCAAATGAATCGACTCTTTAGATCCAAACAAACGAATCGTCCAGCGATGCTATGAAAATAAAAACCCATTAAGTTTGAGCAGGGTAACAAGATCGAAGTTTAAGACATTAGATATACACAGGCACCTTTCTTTAAACAAAATGACACGTTATTGACTAATCTAACAGAAACTAACACAAGCACACATTCATACAAGTGTAGAGGAGAGTAAAGAAGGTCAAGTAAGAGGTTGAGAGGATGTAATGATGGGAAAACCTCGGAGTTTGTAAGAGCAAACCAAGCGAACCACACATAATCAAATTCTCCGTATTATTGTCTCTTTAGGGTTGAATTTAGTTCACACCATTTTAGATGTTGGAAGAAAGTGGATACTTGCGGTCTGTCCGAGATGTAAGAGGCTCCCGTTGTTGAGCACGTGGTTCGGCTGGTTGTTCCTTGTTTCTCGCGAGGGTTGAAGTGGGGTGGAGTCGGTTGTTTCAAGTTTGAAGCGGCAAAGGTGCTAGTCAAGAGGACTATTGATTTGCGATGCACTAAACTGAACTAGACTCTCGATAGAAAAATAATGAAAAGAAGGTGTCGGGGATGTGAAATGTCCGAGCTGTGCGAGTTGAGAGAAGAGTTCTTTCTGAAGAAGTTGCAGAGAGTTTGAAGAGGTTTCAGAGCAGAGTTTCAGAGTAGCCAGGTTCAAGAGAGCTTCAGGGCAGAGAGAGGCTGCGTCCGAAACCGCCTACTACTTAGTAGGTACTGCATTTGAATTTAAATGTACTACTCGGCCTTTAGAAAAGTGCGTTCTATACAGTATGAATGTGAAAAGTATGAATGGAACTCGGACGTACTACATCCGCCATTTTGTTATGGTCACGTGACCTACCTGCGTCAGTTGCGTCGCCTCACTTCCATTCATGAATTCTCTCACGGGGCATTATGGGATAGCGCAGCGTGCATGGGATGCGCACTTCATAATCTCGCCGGAAGTAGTAAGTCATCCGGGTACTTCTCACATACTGATTTTCGAATTCTATGAATTCGGACATACTACTCGACTCGCATACTGATTTTAGCATACTATATAGTATGGAAGTATGCGGTTTCGGACGCAGCCAGAGATTCAGAGCAGAGAGAGAGGCGTAGCTTTGGTCCCAAGCTTATATAGGGCGGGTTCGGATCCACCCTCCATGGAAAGTTGACCAATTAGAAACTAACCTCTCTGCATGGCTTATGGTGCTTTGTCCGAGGCAGAGGAATTTGCATAGGCAAATTTTATGCAAATCAGGGCAGAAATGTTTAAGTCTCTTAAAATCTTAATATGTTGCTCTCGTATTAACACAAAATGTCAACGATTAATTAGTACAGCAAGTTAGCTTTACGACAAGTCTAAACTTGAACCGTTTATGAGTTCGTTTAGCTTTGGTAGGATTAAACATTATATACAGAATTATTAAAACCAATAATATTAATACAGAAGCAAGGGAAACGTTGCAAAACACATGATTACACTTATAGAGAGTAGAGTTTACATTAAAATATCAGTCTTAAGCAAGGAGCTTAAAGAAATCCTGAACCGTTCTTTGTTTAGTGCTGCATGGCACATTCCTTTGGGTCGTAAATACCTTGGAATCAGGTTTCGAGTCTTCCTTGGGCAAAAGTTGGCTCAGTTGTTGAATAAAAAGCAAAATAATAATGTGTATGGTCAGCCATATTTGTTATAATTATATTATCTAATCGAGATAATTCTGAACCACCAACTGTTCCAGAATATGTTTTATGCAGCGGATGCCCTTCCAGCTGCAACCCAGAACTGGGAAACTCCCATTCACACACATACACTACTCATTTAGTTGATCAGTTCCCCTATAGCGCATGTGTTTGGACTGTGGAGGAAACCCACGCCAACACATGCAAACTCCACACTGAAACACCAACTGACCCAGCCGAGACTCAAACCAGCGACCTTCTTGCTGTGAGGCCACAGTGCTAACTACTGAGCCACCACCAAATTATATCAAAACAAACTATTTTAGATTAATGGCAATTATTTTTGGCCATCACTAATAACGCTTAATAAAATGTTCATACCCTCTCAGTAATGTTGTATGTTCCTCTTGTCTTCCAGGAGTGGTGGCTCAGGCCAGATCTGTTCTTGCATGGCATAGCCGCTACCGTTTCTGCCCGACGTGCGGCAGCAACACTCGAGTGGAGGATGGCGGATACAAGAGGACCTGTTTGAGAGCAGGCTGTCGGAGTCTGCAGGGCGTCTACAACACCTGTTACCCCAGAGTGGGCAAGTAAACTCAACATGACCTAAAAGTGGAAGAGAATAGGAGATTTCACACACTATTTATTGTATTTCATTATGCTTTATTATTATCATCATCATGCAGATTGTATTGAGCTCATACCTGCACAGCAGTTTGGTGAACCACCTGTTGATCCTTACGGTGCTTTATACGCTGCAATACATGCATGTCTTGTATATATATATATTTGTATACTTAAAAAAGGAAATTAATCTTCCAGTGGGGAAGTAAAATAAACTTATTTCAAGAATACTTCCGCCATTGTCAGATGGTTTTGCTTGTTTTAGGGAAAAACTCACTTAATTTTGACTCATTATTACTGAAAACATTATTGTTGCTTGTCCAGAAATGCTTCTTGATTTCAGAATATTTTGATGTTTGGACTAGAAACTAGACAAAAGCTCTACAATAGAACGGCAGTTATTGCAGTGTAAATAAAGGTTGAGTTTCACTTCTCCAGATCCAGTGGTGATCATGCTGGTCATTCACCCCGATGGGAATCAGTGTCTGCTGGGACGCAAGAAGATCTTTCCTCCTGGGATGTTCTCCTGCCTCGCTGGCTTCATAGAGCCAGGTACATCAAACACAGATGAGAGACGCATCTAGTGGTCTATTAGCACTGAGGGCTGAAGGGTTTTTGGCAGCAGTAGAAGGGTTTTTTCTTCTTAAAATCGGGACTGGCCTGAATGGTTTTTGTACAAAATCGCACTTGGGCAGAATTTTTGGGGTATTGGTCGAAGCTATTATGTTGGATTCAGTATCGGTTGAAGGTTTTTTTGTTCCTTTTAAAAATCGGTACTGGTTAAAAGGTTTTTAAAAATCACTATCAATTGAAGGTTTTTTTGCACAAATTGGTATCGGTCAAAAGTTTTTTTTTTTGTTTTTTTTTTTTTTTTTTAATCGGTATTGGTTGAAGGTTTTTGTTTAAATCGGTTGAAGTTTTTTTTAAGAAATCGATATCGGTCAAAGATTTTGTTTAAATTAGTCAAAAGCTTTTTTTTTTTGTTCAAAGTGGTATCGGTCGAATGTTTTTTGTTCAAATCAGTTGAAGTTTTATTAGTTCAAACTGGTGTTGGTTAAAAGTTTTTTATTAAAATCGATATCAGTTGAAGGTGTTTTGTTTAAATCGGAATTGGTCGAAGGTTTTTTGTTCAAATCAGTTAAAGTTTTATTAGTTAAAATCGGTATCAGTTAAAAGTTTTTTGTTCAAATCGATATCAGTCGTAGATGTTTTGTTCAAATCGGTATTGGTGGGAGGTTTTTTGTTCAAATCGGTTGACGTTTTATTAATTCAAATTGGTATTAGTAAATTTTTTTTTGTTTAAATCGGTAACGGACGAAGGTTATTTTGTTCAAATCGATAGCGGTCGAAGGTATTTTGTTTAATTCGGTATTGGCCGAAGGTGTTTTGTTCAAACCAGTATCGGGCAAAGGTGTTTTTAAAAAAATTGTTATTGGTCAAATATTATTTAGTTTAGACCGGTATCTTTCGAAGGTATTTTGTTCAAATCGGTATCGGTCGAAGGTTTTTTTGTTCAACCGATCGAAGGTTGTTTTGTTTAAAAAAGATGTTTTGTTCAGTTCGTTATCTGTTGAAAGTTTTTGTTCAAGCCAGTATCGGTTAAAGGTATTTTGTTCAAATCAGTATCGTCAAAAGTATTTTGTTCGAATCGGTATCAGTCAAAGGATTTCTGTTCAAATTGGTATCGTCGAAGGTATTTTGTTCAAATTGGTATCAGTCGAAGATTTTTCGTTCAAACCGATATCGGTCGAATGTGTGTTTTTTTAATTGGTATTGGTCTAAGGTTTTTTTTGTTTTTGGTCAAAGTTTGTTTTGTTCAAATCAATATCGGTTGAAGATATTTTGTTCAAAACGGTATCGGTCGAAAGTGTTTTTTTTTTTAAATTGGTATCGGTCAAAGATTATTTAGTTCAAATCGTTATCGGTCAAAGGTTTTTTGTCAAACTGGTATCGGTTGAAAGTTGTTGTTTTTTTATTAGTATCGGTCGAAGGTTATTTAGTTCAAATCGATATCGGTCTAAGATATTTTGTTCAATTCAGTATCGAAAGTGTTTTTTTTTTTTTTAATTGGTATTGTTTGAAGGTTTTTTGTTCAAACCGGTATTGGTCGAAGGTGTTTATTTTTCAAATTAGTCAAACTGAAGCTGAAGAATTATTCAAATCAGTATTAGACATTGATACTGTTCAGACATTGATACTGATCTTCATGTGTTAATGACTGTGTGTCTGCTGTGTGTGTGCCTGTGTGTGTATGTGTAGGTGAGTGTGTGGAGGCTGCGGTGCGACGTGAGGTGCAGGAGGAGAGCGGTGTTCAGGTGTCTGCGATTCAGTATGTGTGCAGTCAGCCCTGGCCGATGCCCTCCTGCCTGATGATCGGCTGCCACTGCGTCGCTCTGACCACAGACATCAATGTAGATCAGCAGGAGCTGGAGGAGGCGCGCTGGTTTACACGCCAGCAGGTCAGCATCACACACTCACACACTCACATAAACATGTACACACACACACACACACACCAGTGTGGATCAGCAGGAGCTGGAGAAGGCGTACTGGTTCACACACCAGCGGATCAGCATCACACACTCATGCATGGAAAAGATCAGGGGCCGAAGACCTGCGTTGAATTAATACTAAAACATTGTGCACGGACAAAGCTGTAAATGTGCGTACACAGTAAAGACATTAGATGTATGAAACACTGCTTACGCCAAATCCCACGCATATTCTCTTTGTACATCCGAATGAACATGAAACTGAGCGCACGTGTACAAGTGCAAAACCCCTCCCTGCCTCCTCCCCCCTATGAATATGCTAATGACTCCACTTAAGCAAAACCAAAGGACAAAGCAACGGCAAAAGCAAGCAAGAAGGAAAACTTTGCACAGAATGTGAATGTGAGGTGCTCCTATTGGAGGTAGACCAGAGAAAAACGGTGTTATTTGCAAGTTTGTCCTCCGGAATTAATTACAAAAGAAAAAAACAGAGTGGGAGAGTTTATCTGACGCGGGTAACACAGTGGGGTCTGAACATCGCACTGTGAGTGAATTAAAGAAGAAATGGTCTGATGTAGAGGTGCACGTTAAGAGGAGAACAGCGGCGCACAGTCAAAGTGTGAAGCGAACAGGCGGGGGAACAGGGGATGCTGAACTAACACCCTTTGAGGAGAGAGCTGCCTCACTTGTGGGCAACACTTTACTGTCTGGAGTAGTATCCGTGTCTGTGGGAGAAGTCTGTGGGGCAATTCAACTGCCCAATTGCCTGCCCAAGTGTGAGAATGGGCATCATTGTATCTGCGCTCTTGGTCAGTTTGTGGGTTGTTGAGGGGATTCAACAGCCACATCTTTAATGGATAACTGCAGTCTCCTGATATGGAGTTAAATAATTACGCTCAATAAAATGAAAAATAAATAACTTAGCTGGAATAATATCTTTAAATACATTACTCGCCAACAAGCCACCAATCCCGCACCCTGCCACCTCAGAGCCTTCAGATTCACCCATTGACAATGTCCTCTAATACGTCCAACACTGCCATTGCCATAGACCAAGAGTTGTGTTCTGTACATTTGCAAATGCTTTTATATGTTCTCAATCACATAATTGGTAAAAAAATAAAATAAAAATTGTGTCAATGAACTCACTTTATCAATTATAAATGAACAGCAGTGTTTTTCACATGTGTTGGTGTGATACTTTGTAGTGTGCAGTTTAACACAACTGCCTCTAGGAGTCGCCAATGGAAATAAAACACACAGACGAAACGCACGTACGCCATACATGAAGTTGGTGCAGACCAACGCACATTCTCACGTTCATTTAGTAATTAGTAAATCCAAACGTGAGCATCAAATCTGGCAAACGCAAAGTTTTTGTGCGTATGCTATCCTACGCTATCCTATAATGCAGCCTGATAGAAATCAAGAATGGAAGTAAAGCGACGAAAAGTAGGTCTCCACCGATTTCGAAGGCAAATCTACACCTTTGGCCTTCAGATTGTACTATATAACGTTTAAAAGTAACTTTAGCCATCGCTGCATTCAGAATAAGCAGCTCCTGATCGTGCACTCTCCCTGCCTTTAAACAAGTGTATATCATGATCATCAGAGTTGTTCATGAGTGTGTGTGTGTGTGTGTGTCCCGCAGGTCATTGACGCGCTGCTCAAACACAAACATGCTGCATTCATTATGCCGCCGCAGCAGGCCGTCGCTCACCAGCTCATCAAACACTGGATCGGATTCAACGCAAACCTCTGACGCTCTCCAACACTTTGTTTACAACTGAATGTGAATATTGAGTAGGGGGCGGGGTTTACTTTTTGAGCTCCGCCTCTCATCTTTCGCTGACAGCATATCAATGGTTGGAAGGGTGTGGCTAAGCATATTTCAGCCAATCAGCGAAGCACTGCAGTTGTAGAGCAGAAGCAGATGGGCAGATTTATAGGGTTTCTGCAGGTTTCAGATTTAAGACATTTTAAAGATCATCATGAATAAAATAAACACTATTTTCTGTCTGTTTGGGCCAATGGAGTTTTGTTTTACTTGTGTCATGCAAAAAATGCAATTATAGTTATTTCTTAGCCACCTACTTTAAATAATGTGTCAAAACAAGCAAACTCCAGTTGTATAAGTGCATTTTTTTTTCTCCAACAATGTTCAAAAGTAAAAAAAAAAATATATAATAGTCACATTTCTACTGTCGGGCCTGTGCGAGCCAGGGCTTTTATCGGGCTGGGCCATGCCAATAGCCCAGGAGCATGAGCAGTGAAGCTTAAATCATGTCACGTTTCCACTGTACAATCAACTGAACAATGAACACGATGGCAAAGAAAGCAAGAGAGGTAATTTTGTGGACCGATGACGAAGTCGAGTTGTTATTAAACGTAACAAATGAATAACTGCACAATGGCGTCTAAAACAGACATTAGTGCAATAGGCTGGTCTGCTGTCTCATGGTAGTGTTAAAGCCATGTGTTATAGTCATGTGATAGGGGCTTGACGAATAAGGGGAGGATACGCAATGACACAAAAGCCCCAATAAGGGTAGCGAATCTTAGCAGCCCCACCTCCGTTTCCAGATGTCTCCGTTTTTCCTCATCCACACTGAGACAGAGCAGCAGCGCTTCAGAATGAAAACAGCCGCTCGAGAACTCTGGCGTAGTGTGAACGGATGGCTTAACCGTAGCAAACCCTATGCATTTTCAAACTAAAGTGCGTTAGTGTAAAGGGGGCCTCACACACACACACACACACACATCTAAACGCGCATGTTTCTTGCACAAACACACCATTTAAACTTGACAAAAACTCTCGACAACTGTTACTGGCTTCTGTGTCTTTAATGTGGTGTAAAGATGATTATGTGTTATTGAAACAAAGAGGACGCAGCAAAGAAATATCACTTATAATTAAACTACTTTATTATTTTATGCAGCAGTTTTACATTTAAAAAGGAAACATGAGGGCGATCATAAGCAGAAACACCCCTTAAGGTGTTTTATGGTCTTAAACTGAGCAGCTGTATGTTTTGTTTTTCCTTGTGTATTTATTTATTGATTCGTTTGCCGCATGTACTCGTGTGCGATCGGAAAACTAGTGTAATTGCGACACCCCATCTTTACCAGACTCGGGCAAAGTCCGCATCTCTCTCCACCCTGAAGCCCGAGCTGGCCCTCTTTGGAGCAAGTTTTTTTTTTTTACTCTTTGGCACAAGGTATTCAGTGGGCCGAAAAAGGCCGGCCGCTGGCCCCAAGGACGCCCTGCTTTGGCCCGATCAGGCCCCTGAAGTGACAGAGAAAACGTGACTGGCCCTGCCTCGCCCTGGCACACTCGCTTTAGGCACAATAGTGGAAACGCGGCTAATGACCTAAATGTATGCACAACAGTGTGTCCAGGTCAGTGTCCTCAGCTATAGGCAAGGCAAGGCAAGTTTATTTATATAGCACATTTCATACACAGTGGCAATTCAAAGTGCTTTACATAAACAGGAATAAAAAAAGACAAGTTTAGGACATAAAATGCAGACAATAAACATGATTAAAAACAGATAAAAACAAATTAAAATGAGTTAAAATAGGTTATAAAAGAATGAAAAAGAAAAACATGATAGTGCAATCTGTCGGACGCAGCACAGTGCTCATTCAGTAAAGGCACAGCTAAACAGATGTGTGTTCAGTCTTGATTTGAATGTGCCTAATGTTGGAGCACATCTGATCATTTCTGTTAGCTGATTCCAGCAGCGGGGGGCGCTGTTAGTGGCTGAAGGCCGATTCACCCTGCTTTGACTGAACTCTTGGAACTTCTAGTATATATGATCCTAAAGATCTGAGTGATCTGTTGGGTTTGTATTCAGTGAGCAGATCTGTAATGTATTGAGCTCCAAGGCCATTTAGTGATTTATAGACCAGTAATAATACTTTAAACTCTATTCTGAATGTAACTGGGAGCCAGTGTAGAGACCTGAGGACAGGTGTGATGTGCTCTGATTTCCTGCTTCTGGTCAGAATCCTGGCTGCAGCGTTCTGGATGAGCTGCAACTGTCTGACTGTCTTTTTAGGAAGACCAGTGAGGAGACCATTACAGTAATCCACCCTGCTGCTGATAAAAGCATGAACAAGTTTCTAAGTCTTCACTGGAAACAAAGCATCTGATTCTCGCAATGTTTTTGAGATGATAGTATGCTGATTTAATGACTGCTTTGACATGACTGTTAAAACTCAGATCTGACTCCAGCGTCACACCAAGATTCTTGACCTTATTTTTTGTCGTTTGACCTTTAGTGCCAAGGTACGCATTTACCTTGAGAACCTCATCTCTGTTCCCAAACGCAATGACTTCAGTTTTCTCTTTGTTTAACTGAAGAAAATTTTGGCACATCCAATTTTTTATTTCATCAATGCATTGGCAGAGGGTGTCAATAGGGCTGTAGTCATTAGGCAGTAAGGCTAGGTAGATCTGAGTGTCATCAGAAATCATAAATCATAAATACATGGAGAACTGTTAAAAAGTTATTGTAAGGACCAGAACTAAACTATAATGGTAAGTGGAGTTAAAAATGCTACGTTTGTCAATATTTCTATCCGCTTGTTAAGCGGTGACGTGTTTGTGACGTATGTATACTGTTTCCGGGTCCAAGCCGACCTTTCATTTGAGTGGAGAAATCATTTGTTTATGATCGCGTTTTATTCCTATCAGACATTAAAGTTAATTTTATATAAAGTCATAGTGTACACAACAATCTCTGGGCTTGCTGCATAACAAATACCAAAATTTTAACAATTTATAAAACAATGGATCACTTTCTGGCCATCGGATATTAGGCATGGACATATATATTGCGATCGTGATTTTCGAAAGTATTAAATCGCTTTGTAAATGTTTATTATTACCATTTCATGAGTCTCCCCATTCAGTTGAATAGAGCGCTTGGACCCGGAAGCCGCTCCGCGTGACGTCACACTAAACAAGCGGATTGAGATGGACTGATGACGATTGGACACATGGGATTGGAAGACCTACAACACAATATTTCAGTAAATGTCAGACTTTTTAAGGCCTAAATTATTGTTTTTAAAAGTTAAGACTTCAGACCCACACACAATGATTTTGATTAAAGATGAACAAAACAGTGTTTTAAGTGTTGACTAATTGTTCGCTTTAAGACTAAATGTACATACAATTTGATTTAATGTGGGCTTTTAATTCACTATATCGACCTTATTCTAAAATGCGGAAGTGCGCCTGTTTTCGCGATTGTCTTAGGGTGCTTTCACATCTGTAGTTCTCTTCATTTGGTCTGGACCAAGGGTAATAAATGATGCATTGATGCATCTTCTGCCGTCTTTGGGTGGTTTTCACACCACACTGCTGGCTTTGGTCCGAACCAGTTGAAACGAACCAAAATGCAGTCATCTGACAAAATCCACATCTCTCATTGGCCAGATGTTGTTGAATATATTTCCTAAACTGCTTATTGATCGGTCAGAATTCACATGCGGGAAAATGCCAGTGAACTCCCGCAGGTAAACAAAACCTTTTACTCTGGAGGGGCGACTGCGCTGGCTGATTGTATCCCTGCTTTAGACAAACTAAACATTACGAAAATGAAGCGAGGCCGCGGCTGGAAAACAGTGTTTAATGCATCGCTCGTCACTTCAGGAGGAGATGTGAATTAATTTAGCTAAACTGCGACATGCTCATCTTGCGGAAATATTACCAACGATAAATCAGCTAATGTTTTCCTCTCTCTCTCTCTCTCTCTCTCTGTTGGTAAAGCGCTGTCAACAAATATTTTTCCTCCATATGACATAATGCACAGCGCATCGGCCTACGGCAGCTGGATTAATCCAAAGCGCGCAGTACTTTTTGCGGTTGGACCTGTTTTAGTATGAATCATTTTCTCACCACAAACAAACCGCTCCAGGGTTTGTTTGAAAGCGTACTGAGACCACCTCTTCAAGCAGGTCTCGTTCCGCTTATTTGGTCCGCTTTTGTACTCGAGTACGATTGCTGCATTCACACCTGCCCAAACGAACCGTACCAAAAGAGGAAACAAACTCTAGTGCGATTCAATCCAACTAAATAAGGCAGGTGTGAAAACACACTTAGAACTTCTAATTCAGTCGCCTATGGGAGAAATGACTAGGAATAATAAACGGCAGAAAACGGTCAAACTACTCGCTCTACAAACAAATGTTTGCATGACTATACAGACCAAGTAGAATAATATAATAATGAAATATCAAATTGCAACATTAAGCAGCGAAACGAGCAGTTTTAAACGTTAAAAAAATGAATGGAAGTGAATGAGAGCGGAAGTCTCGAGCCAAAAAGATTCAAATGGCAGCGCCCACTCGTCAGCGGAGAATAAGGTGAATAAATTAAAACGAGTGCAAATATTCAGGAAGATATCTGTCAGAGCGGGCAGAAAATAAAACTGAAAGAGTTTTCTCAGCACCTTTTAAGCACAAACTGTAAATTACAGTCTAAAACACGTTTATTCTTAAGTTAATCTGGGTTTAAGAATATTCTGATGATATTAGCACTGGAAAACAACACTGACTTTAATCTGAAGTGAATTTGTGCAGTCTATTATTAAATGATTATATTAGTAATCAAATTGATTTAATCAGCATCTTCTAGATTATAGTCGCCTCACAGCAAGAAGGTCACTGGTTCGAGCCTCGGCTCAGTTGGTGTTTATGTGTGGAGTTTGCATGTTCTCCCTGTCTTCGCGTGGGTTTCCTCCGGGTGCTCCGGTTTCCCCCACAGTCCAAACACATGTGGTACAGGTAAATTGAGTAGGCTAAATTGTCCGTAGTGTGTGAATGTGTGTGTGGATGTTTCCCAGAGATGGGTTGCGGCTGGAAGGGCATCTGCTGCGTAAAAAAACTAGCTGGATAAGTTGGTGGTTCATTCCGCTGTGGCGACTCCGGATTAATAAAGGTACTAAGCCGACAAGAAAATGAATGAATGAATATTAGGGATGCCACGGTTCTCCATATAATATTGAACTGTACGGTACGACATTCACGGTTCAATATGCACTTGTGAATTGCGGTTTGTGGGTTTTGCGTTTAAATAATTTATATGTGTTTTATATCTCCCTGAATTGACTGTGCCTCTAAATTCATGAGCTGAGATGAGGAAACTCCTCCCCGCGAGTAAATATCCATCACTATGCTCTAAAGTTAGGGGGCGATTGACCATCACTCCACACTTTAACATGGCGAGCGGCGGTGACGTGAGGCTGAGGCAACAGTACAAGGAAGTGCCGGAGAAGGGAGGCGGTAAGTATAATGCCAATAAAAGAGAAAACGGTGAACAAAAAATAACTGTACAAGCATTGTTTTACACGCATAACCATGACTGCACATCTGCAGCGCATCACCCAGCAATATCACTGTCTGAAGGCAGGACAGCAGAGAAGGTAATAAAGTCCTCCAAATAGCAACAATCCCTTACTGAATCTGTCAAGCAAACATACCCAACTGGCTCTGAGAGACACATAAAATATCAAAGGCAGTGCGGGTGATTATTGCTGAAGATTTGCAGCCGTTTTGGGTGATTGGAGATGTGGGCTTTTGTCATCTTATAAAAGCACTGGATCCACATTACAGACTACAGTCTCACATTTATTTCAGCACCGAGATAATCAAGATGGTTTATTTATGTTTACTGAAGTACAAATATGTTGATTTGAGTTTATCTGTATTAACTTCACATGTGTGTTTATTTTCAAAGTGCAGGATTTTATGTGTTCCCCAGTTTGTACATGGGCTACAGCAGCTGTGAGATTTCAGTGTTAGTTTTTTTTTTATTCCAATACTCTAGGAACTAGTGCACTTTTCTGTGCTTTTAAGCAAAACAAAATGAGCATTGCAATCAATCGTTTTTATTTTTTTCTCCTCAACCTCTTACTGTTCCTATTGCCTATAAAACAAAACAAAAAACACACGTGTCAAGCCATGAGAACACAACCCAACAACGTGTTAAGACTAAGGCATGTATTGAACTGTGGGCTAACTGTATTGTTGTGTCCCTAGTGAATATGCGTTTCATTTTCCTATACAGTAATAATACAGTTAATGCTGTATGTCTGGAATCATTACGAGCTCATTATTTATTAGTTGAAATTTAAATACGTCCCAATAGAAAATAAATGTTCTGCAGACATGCAATGCTTTACATCATAGATTTATTACACTTTCATATTGACATTACTGATACACTGAATATTTCCAGATCGCAACACCGGCATTCTGTTGACTATTATTGTAGAACTGTACAAAGCTTCCAACAAATAAACATGAATTTAAATGATATTTTGGTTTCTCCATTCAACACAATCCCTAAACAATGCATGTGAACATTAACAATCATATAATATATGAATTCAGAATTATTCGACCCCCTTTGAATTTTCCTTTTTTTTTATATTTCCCAAATGATGTTTAACAGATTGAGGAAATGTTCACAGTATGTCTGATAATATTTTTTCTTCTGGAGAAACTCTTACTTGTTTTATTTCGGCTAGAATAAAAGCAGTTTTTAATTTTTTAAACACCATTTTAGGGCCAAAATTAGTAGCCCATTTAAGCTATATATTTTTCTCGATAGTCTACAGAACAAACCATCATTATACAATGACTTGCCTAATTACCCTAACCTGCCTAGTTACCCTAATTACCCTAGTGAAGCCTTTAAATGTCACTTTAAGCTGTATAGAAGTGTCTTGAAGAATATCTAGTCTAATATTATTTACTGTCATCATGACAAAGAGAAAATAAATCAGTTATTAGAGATGAGTTATTCACACTATTACGATTAGAAATGTGCTGGAGAAATCTGCTCTGTTAAACAGAAAATGGGTAAAAATAAACAGGGGGGTGAATAATTCTGACTTCAACTGTATATTGATGTTTTAAGGCTCATTCAGCTTCATACATGACTGTTGCAAGCAGGAAGCAGCATGACTGTGCGATATTACACAATACTGTAACTGTAAAGTACAACATAACACAGATTTCATCATACAGTCATCTCTGAATTGAACACGTTCATTAGAGCAGTGGTTCTCAAAGTGGGGGTCAGGACCCCCCAAGGGGTTGTGAGACAATGAAGAGGGGGGGTCGCCTGGTGATTTCCAAAAATCTATTTATTTATAAACCATAAGAATTACCATATTTTATCAATAAACTACTGAAGAGAAAAATTGTTGTTTATAGTTAATATACACTATATAGTTACTACAGTAGCTTATAGTTACTAGTTCTATTGGATTGCGACCCCTGGGGTAATTACATAATATTAAAGACACACCAATGGTGTCAGATGCAGCAGATTGATTTTATAACATCAGGTTCAACTTTCTGGCACATTTACAACACTGATTTACATTAAAAAAAGATTAAACTAAGAATAAACTTGGGTCTATTGGTGTGTGTGCGCTATTGCATTCAAGGTTTCTGTATATATAACCACCTCAGAGGATATTGGGGGTCGCGAGTCACTAGCATTGTTATTTTGGGGGTCGCAAGCTAAAAAGTTTGGGAACCCCTGCTTTAGAGAGACGGGTTCTGTGATGCTTCTTAATCTGCTTTCTCAACATTTTACAGACACTTCACCAACCGAACACTGCTTGTTATTTACTGGGAAAAATGAAATGAAAATGACACACGTTTTCGGTGAATAGTGTGGACGGATGCCGTAACCGTAGTAAAACGTATGTGTTTTAAAACTAAACCGTATTAGTCTGAATGGGGGCTTAGGCACTTGGCCACATGGCACTCCTCCTCATGTGATATTGCTCATATGTATAATTATTTTATAAGCGCTGAGCTGTGGTTTATAATCAAACATTTGCACATGTATTTCTTGGTTGAAATATTAATTATCGCTCTTCTTTTGGGTGCAGATATTTATTCATGTTTAAATGACTACAAATGCAAAGATGAACAGAGCAGCAGTCGTGTGAGATCCTGCATAGACTATTGAAGGCTCTTCCTTTAGACTGAACACATGTTGATGTGTGTGTGTGTGTTTGAGTCTGATGTTCCTGTCAGACTGCAGGAATCTGTCCGTTGTGAATGTAGTGTGTGTGATCCGGCATTACGGGTAGATGCACGTACTCTGGCAGGCTGGAGGGAGTGTGTGTGTCTGGGTTTGCTCTCCACAGAGCGGTACCTTCATCAGCGCAGGACTCTGAAGAGCTCAGATCTTCATCAGGTTCTTCTAGGAGCTGCAGGACGCTCTTCTCCATCTGCTGCTCCATCAGGAACACACTCTCCATCAGCACACACACCTCAGCCTCAGCCTGAGTGAGGAGCACACGCGCATACGCGCACACACACACAAACACGCGCACACACACACACACACATACACACATAAATAATTTCAAATGCACATGCATGCATGCATACAAACACACACACAATCACACACACAAACATGCTCACATAAACACACATTTAAACAAACACACACACACACACAAACACATAAATACACAAATTTACACACACATATATAAACACTTACAGAAACACAACTGCACACACAAACAAACACACACATACAAACACATATATACACAAATATACACACACATATAAAAACATGCACAAACACAACTGCACACACAAACAAACACACACATGCACAGAAAGACAAACGCGCATATATATATATATATATATATATACAAACGCACAAATACACATATACACATATACACAAACACACACAAAATTACACATACATGCAACCACACGCACACACACATATAAACACACATATACACAGACATACACACACACACACACACACAAAAAACACAGACAAATGCAAATATATACACACGCACACACACAAATGCACATACAGACATACACAAACACACACACAACCACACACACAAACATGCTCACATAAACACACATTTAAATAAACACACACACACACAAACACATATATACATAAATATACACACACACATATATATATAAACACATGCACAGAAACACAACTGCACACACAAACAAAATCATACAAACACACACACAATCATGCACAGAAAGACAAACGCATATATAAACACAAACGCACAAATACACATATACACAAACACACACACAAAAATACACATACATGCATCCACACGCACACACACTTATAAACACATACACACACACACACACACAAAAACACAGACAAATGCAAATATATACACACACACACAAATGCACATACAGACATACACAAACACACATACAACCACACACACAAACGCACATATATACACAAACGCGCACACACACAAAAATGCGCTCAAAAACAAACACACACAGAAATACACATACAAACAAACACATACATATATACACACATATAACACACAAACGCATACACACATATACAGACACACACAACCATACAAACACACACATATACATACAAAAGCAGATACACAAACACAAATACACATACAACCACACACACAAACAAACACAGACAGACGCACACAAACACATGCACAGAAAGACAAACGCATATATATTTACACAAACGCACAAGTACTCATACATACAACCACACATATACACAAACACAAACAACCATACACACAAACACACACAAAAATACACATACACACACACACACACATATATACACACACACACACACACACACATACACAAAAACAGACAAATGCAAATATATACACACGCAAACACACAAATGCAAACAAACACACATACAACCACACACAAATGCACATATAAACACAAACGCACACACACACACAAATGCGCACAAAAACAAACACACAGAAATGCACATACAAACAAACACACATATACACACATTTAACACGCATATACAGACACACACCACCATACAAACACACACATACACACAAACACAGACAAACGCACATATATACACAAACGCACATACACACAACCATGCACAAAAACAAACAAACATACAAACATAAACGCACACAAAGACAAACACGCATAACACAAATGCATATATACACATCCATACAAACACACACACACGTACACACCATACAAACACACACATACATACAAATATACATATACACATACAAACGCATACATACACAAGTGCACATACACTCATATACACACGTACAAACACAGATAGATAAATAAATACACACCTGCAAAACACACACACACACACACACACACACACACACACACAAAGCTGAAGTGATGTTTAACAGAGGGAAGATTTATAGTTCACAATAAATGTAAATCACATGTTTACATGTTAACAAACTGACATGTACACAACAGCGTTTACTTGTGGTGTGTTTTTAAAAAGAGCCAATATAATAGTAGTGTTGTCTTCAATGATCATTAAAGCAGTGTGAGACTGAGTCAGACCTGCAGATGAGGGCTGAGGAGCCACCGACCAATCAGACTGAAGCGTGGGTTGGAGATGACCGGGAATAAATACTGTCTGCATCTGTGAACAACACAAGAACAGAGATTATTACACCACTCAGAGACACAGTGGCTCAGTGGTCAGAAGTCTGGCCTCACAGCAAGAAGGTCCGGCTGGGTCAGTTGGTGTTTCTCTGTGGAGTTTGCATGTTCTCCCCGTGTTGGGGTGGGTTTCCTCCGAGTGCTCCGGTTTCCCCCACAGTGCAAACACATGCGCTATAGGGGAACTGATCAACTAAACTGGACGTAGTGTATGAGTGTGAGTGTGTATGGGTGTTTCCCAGTACTGGGTTGCAGTTGGAAGGGCATCCGCTGTGTAAAACATATGCTGGAATAGTTGGTGGTTCATTCCACTGATGAATAAAGGGACCAAGCCGAAGGAAAATGAAGGAATGAATGAATTACACCACTCTCTGGATCCTGGAATACTGGACTCTGATTGGTCGATCATGACATTCTGAATTTTGTAATTCCCCAATAACAGAGCTCTGAAATGTGCATTTGTTATTGGATCATTCATTCATTTTCTTGTCGGCTTAGTCCCTTTATTAAATCCAGGGTCGCCACAGCGGAATGAACCGCCAACTTATCCAGCAAGTTTTTATGCAGCGATTGGCCTTCCAGCCGCAACCCATCTCCGGGAAACATCCACACACACATTCACACACTTATACACTACGGACATTTTAGCCTACCCAATTCACCTGTACCGCATGTCTTTGGACTGTGGGGGAAACCGGAGCACCCGGAGGAAACCCACGCGAAGGCAGGGAGAACATGCAAACTCCACACAGAAACGCCAACTGAGCTGAGGTTCGAACCAGCGACCTTCTTGCTGTGAGGCGACAGCACTACCTACTGCACCACTGCCTGCGAAGAGAGGGCGGGGTATATCAGACACTAGAGAGCATTTGATTGGCCAGAAGATTTGATGAGAACTTAAAGAAAGACGTGACCTTAAAATATATATAATTTATCCATTATCTATTTTGCAAACTTTGTCACTGTTTTGGAGACACTAGATTACTTAAGGCTAACATACTGATATTGACATCTAATAAAGCATTATTTTAATTTCATGGGACCTAAACCTAATAAAAAGGCTCATCCAAGTACTACCAATATCTTGGCCATTACCGAATATATAATAGATATAATCAAAAAGCAAACTGAGCATGTGCGCAGAAAAAAATAAAAATACGCCCTGCTCCAGCTTAACGCTGACGTGCTGCTCTGCTCCCAGTGCAACTCCCGGTTGTCGAAAAAATAGCCGCGCTGCGCTCATGCTGCTCATGTGTTGTCAAACTGGCGTAACAGTGCTTTATGCAGTGTCGGCACACAGTGAGTTTTGCAAGTCGACAAAACAAAGTTGAAATAATATGATGTGGATTAGACCAAGCATGGCTCCTGATTTTTGTATGAAGCAAAAAGAAGCGATGAGTCAGGGAGGCAAGACTTATTAAGCCTAATTCTTGGCCATGAGTTGGGTTTCTATAAAACATTTGTTTTGTTCTAGAATTGTTTATAGAATTTCATTCTAATGAAATTAAAATTCATGCAAAAGATTTCTTAAATTATCTTAGCATCACTTCTGATGTGTCTTTGTTTTCCAGTTACATTTAGGATTATTTTTGTTATTTATTTAGAATATTAATAGTATAACAACAATAATGCTGTTATTTATTTATAATTCTATATGTTTTGTTTCATTAATATATATACACATATATATATTTACACAAAAGTTCTGTCTGGTTCTTGAATCTGATTGGCTGATAGCCGTGCGATATTTCGCCAGTAACATCACACAAAGGCCTCTTCACCTCTGTGTATTACTCCGCCCACATACAGCAAGCAACAAGCAGGCTACAGTTTGACAAATATTACTGCTGTTCGACAGCAAAATGTACTTTTGAGGCTTTTTAGTGGAGAATGTAGTTGTTTAGATTGCAACTATGCAGTTTATTTGTAAGAATAGTGCCTATTTTAAAATATTGACAATTTCAGAGAGCTCATCGACGGCTTTAGACAGTTGACGTTGTCTATCCACAAGATGGTGCCAGAAGCGCATAATAAGCCCTTGCTCAGTGTGTTTTCTTGAGCGTGAATAAAAAAGCTGAAAAACAGAAGCCTTGTGGTTTTTAAGATGGACCAGATAGAGTCAATAAGAAGCAGCGAATAAGAAGATGGATTCAGCCTTGTCCCTCCTTATCGCAAACACAACAGCAGTCTGGTAAGTTAGTATATACTTTTCAACATATTCACGCACAAGATCCACCCATACGGCTGTCAGTAAAGGACCTCACGCACGCATACGCATACACACGCACGCACACACACACACACACACACACACACACACACACACACACACACACACACACACACACACACACACACACACACACACACACACTCACACACACACAGTTTGTCACAGGGGCATGAATGAAATGTTCATGAGTGAAAGTGAAACTGCTGAACTGCAGTTAAAGTCACCCAAAATTACAGGAAACTCTTATATTACAGCACCTGTCGTAAACACTTAAATTATATTATTGTCAATTAAGGCAGATAACTAGACTATAGATGTCCATGTAAGTGTAGTCAGTCGTGTTTTCGAAGTAAGTGAAAGATCCAGAAGGGCGTCCTGCTGATTTGATTCAGAAGGGCACTTGTTTATCAGACGGCTCACCGGTCAGGTATACATCCGCGCTAAAATATCAAGGTGAAAGTCACCATAGCTTGCGTAGAATAGATCCAGCTCCCAACACAACTCTGAGAATAGATTAACAGCCATATTTTTTTAATCGCATGATAAGAGTCTCGTGTAAACACAGCACATTAACGCTGATAACGGCCCACCACTAATATATATATATATCAGTTTCAGGTTATGTTTTAGTGTTGGTAACATCCCTCATTGTCCCACAGTTAGTGTTGTGTTTTCAGTGTATGTGATGATCTTACATGCTCCTGGTGAACACGGAGAAAATCCCACAGATGAGGAGCAGCAGGAGCACCGGCACAGCGAACCGCAGCGCATCCTCATAATCTGCAGATCAATATAGAAGGAGTCATGTGATCATTTCATAATAACACTTGTGTGTACTGCTCAAATGGACTCTTCTGGTGATGTTGGTGCTGTTTTTGCACCATTGACTTCCATTATAATCCTATTTATTGATTGCAAAGCCATGACAGCAGATAATCATGCATTCGTAATTGTTGCTGGTTTCTGTGTGGATAAGAGGCTCTAAATATAGTTGTGTGTCAGCAGTGTGTGAATCCAGCCAGTGAACATGAATGAAGTGTGTTTGTTATAATCAGACTTGATGAATTTGATTGACATTCTGCCTTTGTACGGGTCATCAGAGGAGGGAAAGCCCCGCCTACAAGACATGTAAAGGCTTCACTAGGGTAATTAGGGTAAAGTTAGGGTAATTAGGCAAGTCATTGTATAACAGTGGTTTGTTCTGGAGACAATCCAACACTAATATTGCTGAAGGGGCGAATAATATTGACCTTAACATGCCTTAAAAACTATTAAGAACTGCTTTTATTCTAGCCCAAATAAAACAAGTAAGACTTTCTCCAGAAGAACAAATATTAGAGGAAATACTGTGAACAACTCCTGAATCTGTTCAACATCATTTAGGAAATATTTGAAAAATAGATAAAAACTTCACAGGAGGGCGAATCCTTCTCACTTCAGCCCTCTATATAGTGGTTTAATCTGATGGGAGTCTGGTCTGTGTGAGCAGGTTGTAGGCTGCTCATCTTACCCAGCAGGAGTGTGTGGACGTCCAGAGTGGCCCGGGTGAAGTTCACAGCTGTAGTTTCTGCACGGATGAAGACGGAGTACTGTGTGTTCGGCTGAAGATTGAGGAACCAGTGCTGCTGTTGATCAGGAAACACCGACACCGCTGAGAGAATAGACACAGTTTCCATCAGATGTATAGACCTTTTTCTTGGAACGCAAAATTACCCATGATGCTTTGCGTGTATGCGCAAGGAGAATGCAAAGAACCTCCGGTCGGCAGCTGATGCGTGTAAACAGTCACATTTGGACAGTTTTGAAACGATAGTTTTAATCTATTTACCTGCTTTTATCCTCTTTGAGCTAATACTGTTGTCCATCAGCAGCATCTCCTGGACTGATCATTTACAGAAATGTGATCTAATAGGATGGAAAACAGCTGCTGTGAGGCGTTTTCCCCTCGCTGTCAGACGGCATCTTCTGCAGTTTAAATGAAGCCTCGTCATCGCTAAAGTCAACATTTTCTCTTTATTTCAAATATATAACCAGCCCAAACTAATGTAGTTCAGCATAATGTTTGACACACACACGTAGCCTGTACTGTGCCACTGACACACTGATTTAATAACTGTGACAAAGTGAAAATATAGGCTAGTGTCATTTCAAAATGACAGAAAAACACAAACCGTGGTGAAAACAACACACGAAATAAAACACAAACGGCTCGCGATCAGAATGAACAGCAAATCAGCAGCAGAGGATCAATAACAGACTTTTGTTGCTCATTTTTGTAAATTAAACGACTTTCATACCTGTTAAGTTTCATGCCAGTACTCTGGTTTGCTCTCTCTCTCTCTCTCTGTGTGTGTGTGTGTGTGTGTGTGTGTGTGTGTGTGTGTGTGTGTGTGTGTGTGTGTTAAAGAGCAGCTGAGCTAACAGCTGACAGGCCGGGAACGCACACACACACACTGTATTTCTGACGGCAGACACGTGAACTAGGAGAACGTTTTTCTCGTATTTCTGACGCTCTTGAACCACATGTGACAGATTATAACGGCTTTAACAGACACATTTCTAAGTTGTGTGTCACAAAAATACTCTGTTATCCATTAAAAACGTCATTGAAACCCATTTTCGGAGCGCAAATGACCAGTTGTACACGCTGTGAACAGAAGTTTTTAGCATTCTACCGGAAGACGGCTCAGAAGACCAAGACCAAACGCAATGAACGCGGTGGCTTTTGGGGGAGTGAGACGAGAGCGCAGACTGATGATCAAGACAGTTCTGGAGGGAATACTAATAGGTAGGGGTGTAACGATTTATCGTTGTACGATTTATTGCGATGCAAAAATGTCACAGTATGCATCGTGGCGTTATGACGATTTGATTACGATATGACGTCCGTTTTCTCTTATTAGTTGAGCTGTTTGCACGTGAGCTACGTTCCACCTGCTGTCGCACGTGAGTTCAGATTGCAGCAGCAGTAATGTTAGCAGACCAAGATGAGTGGAGCTGAAATAGAGGATGGCCCATCCTCTCAAAATCAGACGTCTGGCAACATTTCGGTTGTACAGTCGTTGCTTTAGACTCGTCCGCTTTTAGACACGCATACTGGGTCAAACATCCTAAGTTTTGCAGTCTTCACAGTGTTTACATACTTTGCACAGCGACAGGGAAACCTCCTAATGGTGTTGAAAGAGTCACATACTGTATTTATAAGGTACAATTCACCCTAAAATATCATTCTGTCTTCATATAATGATGTATTGGCGGCCGCAAAATCACACATGACGTGAGCTGACTGTGAGCTGTTACTACAGAGGGCGGACTGATAGACGCGCGCGTATGGCAAGCCGTTTTAGCATTTAAACCTTTGTTCTGACTATCCATAAATATATTTTGAGATATCTCTGATTATATTTTGACTAGTCATAATTATAATTCGACTAGTCAGAATGACAATTAGAGATATCTGCAATTACAATTGTACTAGTATGAAATCAGATTGGAGATATCTGCAAATATATTATGACTAGTCATATTCCTCCATTGACTTCCATTGAAAAATATTTGCAGATATCTCTAAATGAGTTGACTAGTCACAATTGTAATTAGAGATATCTCTAAATGAATTTAATTAAATATGAATTAAATACCTGAAAATGTGGATTTTTTTTTTGCACACACAAAAAACGCAAGTGACCAAGCAAAGCCTTAAGCTCTTACTGTTAAATTCAATTGAATAGAAAGCTTATTTTTTTACACCTTTACTTAAATTGTTCCTTAATTTTGTCTCTGTCATTTCAATAATATTTTTAAGAAGTTTTTAAATTGTTTTATTTTCCAGAGACAGGCCTGTTTAATTTATTTTCTTAAAGAAGGTTCAGTTTAACAAGTTGAAACAACAGAAATACATAAAAAATAGTTTACTTGGTAAAATTTGCATTTCAGTTTAATTTTCTATTTTTATTCCAAATATCGAGATACATATCGAATCGTGAACATTATATCGTGATACACATCGTATCGTGAGCTGAGTGTATCGTTACACCCCTACTAATAGGAGAAGAACACTGAAGCACTCACTGTGTGTGTCCTGCGGGCCGCTGAGCTCCAGATGATACTGACGAACATTAACACTGCTGTTCACCTGCTGCCACGACCACTGCACACACACTGCAGAGCTGGACACACTCGCCACTGACAGCAGCTGAAGATCGAGAAGAGCTGCACACACACACAGACATTGACAAACACACTCACCACTGACATACACAGCGTGTGTGTGATGGTGATTTACCGCCATGCTGCAGATCAGCAGAGATGGAGGACGGAGGCCCGCAGACACGCTCACACACTGGAAACACACTGATGCTGTAAACCTGCTGCTGTCTGACATCTGAGAACACGAACACACACACACACACACACACACACACACACACACACACACACACACACACACACACACACACACACACACACACACACACACACACAGCTCAGTTCCAGAAAAAAACAATTGCAATTCAAGAAATCTGTACAGTGCATCTGTAAAGTATTGATAGCGCTTCACTTTTTCCACATTGTTTTATGTTCCAGTTAGAGATCTGAGCTGGACTAAATTTTGAATCCCGCTCCCACCAGGTTTTAGCCCGAACTTTTATTTGTTGTCCCGCTGCACAACCCGCCCAGTTTTCTACCCGCCGCACCTGTTCCTGCTTACAAGCGGGAGGGAGAACAAAACCGAAAACCACCCAGCTATACAGTCCAGACAGCCAGTGTGTATAAACACACACACACACACATAAGCACCAAGCAAGTGACACACACACATAGGCATCACCATACACACACACACACACACACACACACACACACACACACACACACACACACACACACACACACACACACAGAGCAACAAACAAGTCTTATTCACACACATACACACATATGCTCAGGAGTCGGGAGCGATATTGTTAGACTGCTAGCTCTTGTCCAAAATTAAACCAGTTAGCGACCGCTCATGCGCTTTAATCAGAAATTTATACCAGCGCCGCAGAAATCTGGTCGGGTCCAACGGCTCCTGAATGCAGACCTCTAGTTCCAGCCTTATTCCAAAATTGAATAAATTGATGTATTTCCTCAACATTCTACACACAATCCCTCATAATGACAATGTGGAGAAAAGGTTTTTGAAATTGTTGCAAATTTATTAAACATAAAAACCCTGTAAAATCAGATGTACATCAGTGTTCTCAGCCTTTGGCGTGAAGCTCTACACTGAGCTCGGGTTCATTCTGTCTCCACTGATCATCCTTGAGATGCTTCAGCAGCTTCATTGGAGTTCACCTGTGCTCAATTCAGCTGATTGGACATGATCTGATCAGGCATACACCTGTCTATATAAGAGCCCAGGGTTGACAGTACATGACAAAGCACAAACCAAGCATGAAGACAAAGGAATTGTCTGTATAGCTCCGAGACAGGATTGTCTGGAGGCACAAGGCTGGGGAAGCTTACAGAAACATTTCTGCTGCTCTGAAAGTTCAGCACAGCGGCCTCCATCATCCGCAAGTGGAAGATGTTTAACCAGCAGGACTCTCCCTAGAGCTGGCCGGACATCTAAGCTGAGTGATCGGGGAGAAGGGCCTTAGTCAGGGAGGTGATCAATAACCCGATGGTCACTCTGTCTGAGCTCCAGTGTTCTTCTGTGGTGTTACGACTGAAGTTTATTTATTTTTTTTTATTGCGGATTGTACACCTTTTTCTTTTGTCCCGCCTCCTTGCTGTTTTTCTGATGTCTTATAGGCTACCACGCCGGCGTGATTCCCTGCTCTGATTGGCTGCTGGTCTACGAGGCCTGTATAAAAGGGAGCTTCCGGCAGGAATCGGAGAGCTCATTTCTGCTGCATTCGGTGTTTGGAGTGGAGCTCCTGGGTTTCCCTCACCCCTTCGGCCGACGACCAACAATTATCACCTTTGTATTGATGACCATCCTATGCTTGAATATTTATTGAGAGTTTGAGCGTGTAGGGGTGACCTGCCTATTTATTTGACTACTTTTGACTTTGTTTATATTAGGGAGTCAGGTAAGATTCTTGTATGTTTCTTTAAATAGTAATAGGTAATTTAGTGGATTTATTTTATAGATTCTTTTGTTTGTTATTTTGGCCTGTGGTCACCCTGACGAAATGCTCGTTTATATAAACCCTATTTTTCTATAATAAATATCTTTATATATACTCTCAATTGAGTGTGTGAGTTTGGTTGTCGACCGAAGGGAATCTTTTGCTTTAAGTTTTGTTTAGTTTGGGAAATCCACCACCCCAACACATTTGTTTGTTCTTCGTTTATTATGCCCTTTTCGTTTCCCCTAGACTTGGGGCGTAATATGTGGAGAGAGGAGAAGCTTACAGAAGGACAACCATCTGTGCAGCAATCCACCAATCAGGCATCTGTATGGTGGAGCGGCCAGACGGAAGACACTCCCCGCCTGGAGTTTACCAAAGGAGGACTCTCAGAGCATCAGAAACTAAACTCTCTGCTCTGATGAGACTCAAACTGAACTGTTTGGAGTGAACGCCAGGCGTTACGTTTGGAGAACAGCAGGCAGCGCTCATCAGCAGGCTAACAGCATCCCTACAGTGAAGCATGGTGGTGTTGGCATCATGCTGTGGGGATGTGTTTCAGCAGCAGGAGCTGGAAGACTAGTCAGGATAGAGGGAAAGATGAATGCAGCGATGTACAGAGACATCCTGAATGAAGACCTGCACAAGAGTGCTCTCCACCTCAGACTGGGGCGACGCTTCATCTTCCAGCAGGACAATGACCCAAAGCACACCGCCGAAATATCAATGCAGCGCCACAACAACAACTCTGGGAATGTCCTTGAGTGGCCCAGCCAGAGCCCAGACCTAAATCCTATTGAGCATCTCTGGAGAGATCTGAAAATGGCTGCACACCGACACTTCCCATCCAACCTGATAGAGCGTGAGAGGTGCTGCAAAGAGGAACGGGCAGAAATTCCCAAAGACATGTGTGCAGAGCTTGTGCATCATATTCAGAGAGACTTGAGGCTGTAATCACTGCCAGAGGGGCATCAACAAACTGTTGAGCAAAGGCTGTGAATACTGATGTACATCTGTTGTTTCACACACAAAGCCATATACCAAATGCCATAAATCTACTATATAGATATCATAGAACAATTGAACTAATTAAATCAATGCAGTGCATTGATCATATTTTGATTTGAACATATTTTAAACAAAAACTCACATAAGTCACTAAATCATTACCTTTATTTCTTATTTTATTACAAAATGTGCTATAATCAATAATGTTTTTACATCACGGCTGGTTGTATAAGGTTATATAAGTATTTCACTGCATATTACGGTGTATGTGACAAATAAAAACATAATAAAAACTACCTGTGATGGCGCTGCTGAATGTGGATCTGTTGACTCTCCTCCAGTGTGTGTGTTCAGGGTTTGAGGCTTCGCTCCACTGGATGGCGAATTCACTGAGGTTTACCGCGGTAAACTCTCCATCCCAGCGAACCCGCAGGGAAGAGCCGTCAGAGTAAACCCAGAGAGACCTGAGAGCACACACATCTGACACGCACACACACGCAAATGCTTTTCTTACTTACAGCTTTTGTCCAAATATCTAACAATTCTGAAATTATGAAGCATTTTCTAGACAAGAATATAGTGTTGTTTTCAGAAATAATGAGTCAAAATGAAGTGAGTTTTACTTAAAACAAGCAAAATAATCAGACAATAGAGTGAGCAAATTAATCTTATGTTCCTTCCCTGATTGGTAGATTATTGTACTTGTTTTAAGGAAAAACTCACTTCATTTTGACTCATTTCTGTAAACAAGAAAATATTAAATATAATTATTTTCATGTATGCGTGTTCTGGTTATCTAACAGGTGTGTGTGTGTGTGTGTGTGTGTGTGTGTGATTTTTGCAGTGTTTCCCACCATGTGTGTGTTTGAGATCATCATGTGTGCAGTGTTTCCCACCATGTGTGTGTGATCATCATGTGTGCAGTGTTTCTCATCATGTGTGTGTGTGTGATGTGTATTGTTTCTCACCATGCGTGTTTGAGGTGTGGAGTGTAAGCCGGCTGTAAGGTGAGCGTCCGGCGCTGTTAAATGCACACACCCTGACCTCATACTCCTCCATCATCACCGGCACAAACACCTGCAGGAGGAGCAGCAGTAATGCAGACCATTTTACTAATGCACACACACACAGACACACACATGCATATTCATCAGCAGATCTGCATACGAGCTTAAAGAGAGTGTTCATTCGCGGATCACGTGTAAACACCATTAATACAGTGATGATGAATGATTCGTAAAAAAAATTAAGTGAGGCAGACATTAATAATAAAAAAATCTTATTTTTTAATAATTAATCTTAATAATTATTAAATTATTATTAATTTACATTTAGTCATTTAGCAGACGCTTTTATCCAAAGCGACTTACAAATGAGGACAAAGAAGCAATTTTCACAACTAAGAGCAACAATGAATAAGTGCTATAGGCAAGTTTCAGGTCTGTAAAGTCTAAGAAGGGAATTAATGACTTCAGTTACATAATTAATGACTTCAGTTACATAATCATCCTAACAGGTAAACAAAATGCAATACTAAAAAAATAAAACAAAAAAGGCATAATATATTATTAAATAAATATAAAAATGACATAAAATACAATAAAACAGCTTAACAAATAAAGTAAATAAGTTTTCAGTATCACCAAGATAAAATAAAAAATAATAAAAACAACTTATAACATCTTTATAAAAAAATAAATAATAATACTAATAATAATCATAATAATGATAATAATAAAAATGATAATAATAATAACAATACTACTACTACTACTACTACTACTTTTAAAAATAACAATAATAAAAATAATAAAAATAATAATAATAATAATAATAATAATAATAAAAACAATAATAATACTAATAATAACAACAATAACAATAATAACAACAACAACAATAATAAATAATAATAATAATAATAATAATCATGATAATGATAATAATAATAATAATAATAATAATGATGATAATGATAATGATAATAATAATAATAATAATAATAATAATAATAATAAAAAATAATAATAATAATGATAATGATAATAATGATAATAATAATAATAATAATAATAATAATAATAATAATAATAATAATGATGATGATAATGATAATAATAATAATAATAATAATAATAATAATAATAATAATAATAATAATGATAATGATAATAATGATAATAATAATAATGATAATAATAATAATGATGATAATGATAATAATAATAATAATAATAATAATAATAATGATAATAATGATAATAATTATAATAATAATAATGATGATGATGATGATGATGATGATGATATTAAAAATAATAATAATAATAATAATAATAATGATGATGATGATGATATTAATAATAATAATAATAATAATAATAATAATAATAATGATGATGATGATGATGATATTAACAACAACAATAATAATAATAATAATAATAATAATGAGTTTCTATTATTACCTTGAGGTCGGTGGTGTTGATGGTTTCCTTTAGTGAAGGCTGTCTGATGGGCATGTAGGAAACTTCATAACCCTGAATGATTCCTCCAGCTTCTCTGACCTCCAGAGCCTTCGCAAACACACCACATTATGAATATAACAATAATAAACACACAACACGCATATATACTGTGTTTTTACCTTCCAGAGAAGCAGCAGCTGATGAGGGCCAGAGTTTACATCAGAAAACACGTAATAACTGAGAGCCGGAGACGCAGACGGACCTGAAAACACACACATTTACACACACAGACATTTTTAAGTATCAATAAGTTTCTCTTTGGCGTTGCAATGCGTTTCTGTCTGATACCATTAATCACTTAGCATTCTTTTAACTATAAATTATCTTTTTATTTATAATAATAAAAGTTTTGATGAGATTTTAATATGTGCTCCACCGGAAAAAAGTGGCCATCTCCAGGTGGGAGGAAAGTCCTTACCCCAGGTGGAGAAGTTCAAGTATCTTGTGGTTTTGTTCACGAGTGAGGGAAGAATGGCCTTGCCTTCCTTTGTAGGGTGGCAGGGTGCACACCTTATAGACAGGGTGAGGAGCTCTGTCACCCGGGATGAGCTCAGAGTAGAGTTGCTGCTCCTCCACATCGAGAGAAGTCAGCTGAGGTGGCTCGGGGATCTGTTTCAGATGCCTCCTGGACACCTACATAGAGAAGTGTTCCAGGCATGTCCCACCAGGAGGAGGCCTCTGGGAAGACCCAGGACACGCTGGAGGGACTATGTCTCTAGGCTGGCCTGAGAATGCCTCGGGATCCCCCTGGAGGAGCTGGAGGAAGTGTCTGGGGAGAGACTACTGCTGCACCAATCAGCCTGTCAATCTCACTCTCCATCCTTCCCTCACTCATGAACAAAACCCCAAGATACTTGAACTCCTCCACCTGTGGTAAGGACTCTCCTCCAACCTGGAGATGGCAGGCCACCCTTTTCAAGTCGATCCAAATGGCCTTGGACTTAGAGGTGCTGATTTTGCTCTCCAGTACCCTGGCATAGTCTCTTCCAGGAAGGCAGAGGAGTGTGTGAGATCGCCCTATAGTTAAATACACCCTCCAGTCCCTCTTTTTAAAAACGAGAACCACCAACCCAGCTGCCCAGTGCAGAGGTGCTGTCCCCGACCTCCATGCGATATTGTAGAGGCTTATCATCAGGGACAGCTCCACAATATCCAGAAACTTGAGATACGCAGGGTGCATCTCCTTCACACCTGTGTTACTATTTAACACTGTCCAGGTATTTTATCAGAAACTCTAAAAGAAATCTATACAGAACACTCCCTCATGATTATATTTATATATTTGGGTTGGAAACCATAAAATAACATAACATTCCCACAACAATAAAGTAACGTGCCCAGAACATTACAGAGTGGTTATTAAAAATAACCTTAAAAAACACATGCAGTACATTTAAAAAAAATAAATCCCAAAATGAAAGTCCTCTTAAAATAATTTTTTGAGCATTAAAAAAATAATAACCAAACCAGAACCAAAATCTAACATTAGGGGAGGTTCTGTGTTTTCTGGGTGTTCATACAGCGCGCACACACACACGCTAACTGTCTTAATGTTACAGAAAGAGTCACTGAGGAAGAAATGATGAGGTAAAATGTGAATATACTGCAGTAAACTCACGTTTTTCAGCCGTCTTTACTCGCGTCTCGTCACTCCAGTCGCTCCAGCGGCCGAATCCATAAAAACAGGAGACGCTCAGATCATACACACTGAAAAACTGCAGACCCCTGAGCACACACACACACACGGTGGAGACGCGGAAGCCTGCGGTCTGACACACACACACACACACACACACACACACACACACACACACACACACACACACACACACACACACACACACACACACACACACACACACACACACACACACACACAAACACACAAACACAAACACAAACACACGTGAGAACATGTGAGGATATGCTTCATCCGTATATCCTCATGTCATATAAACATATATATGTAATGCATTGTGTGTGAAGACTTCACATGTTAACGTGAACTTAAATTCAAAGTTAAATGAAATAAAATAAAACAAAATAAAATGTATTTTCAAGAAATGCCTGGTATTTCCAACATGTGTCCAACATGCTTTTGTTTTAGGGCTAATAATATTAATAAAAAAAATAAAATAAAATAATAATAAAAATAAATAGATTTTACAAAAACTAATTTAATTAAATGATTAATAATAATAATAATAATAATAATAATAATAAATTAAACAAAAAACTAATTAATTAAATTAATTAATAATAATAGCAACATGAACAACAATAAATGCATTTTAAAAATAAAATAATACCAACCAAAATTGTACAAAAAAATCCAATAAAATAAAGAAAATAACAATAAAAATTAAATAAAAAGTTAAATTAAATAATAACAATAATAACAATATACAAAAAAAATTAATTCAATAAAACAAAACTGCACAACTAAAATATATTTTCAAGAATTATGCTGCATTTCCAACCTCCGTATAGGCCTCAGTGTTGAGCAGTTTATAGCGTATTCTG